TTTCTGTAACATATGTTATATTTGGGATTACACCAAGTTTCTGTTCAAGCATCCAAAACTGGTGGAAATTAAACATGAAAGTGATCTTTGTCATAACCCAAATATGGGTACTAGCCCATTTCTGGTGTCCCCTGCCGTGATATTGCTGGAATATTGCTAAAAGCGGTGTAAAACTAACTTTTGGTATTCTGAATTAAATAGTTTTGGCGTTTCCATGGCAACAAGTTTGACTTAGACTGAAATTGGTGGTAGTGCTGTTTTCCGTAGCTGAACTCTAAAACCGTTCACTATTTCTTCACCAAACTTGGCACATAGATTGGTCTGGTGGTGTACTGGTGCCTTTTGGTAGTTTTGGATTTCTGAATAAAATATCTTTGCATTTCCATGCCAACAAGTTTGACTTAGACTGAAACTGGTGGTAGTGCTCCTTTCTGGAGCAGAACTTTTAGAACCTTTCAATACTCTCCTTCCACTTTTCTATATACACACCAAAACATTTGACATAATCATAACTCGTAGACATATTCATGAAGAGTATTTTGCCATTGCCATATTGATGTCTTCTTGTTTAATAAATGTTTCATTGTTGGAAGACTTTAATCTCCATAGTTCTGGAGTGTTACATTGTTAGAAGATCTTGGTGTCATTAGTTCTGTAGTGTTACATTGTTGGAAGATCATGGTGTCATTAGTTGTGTAGTGTTACATTGTTTGAAGATCATGGTGTCATTAGTTCCTGAGTGTTACATTGTTGGAAGACCTTGGTGTCATTAGTTCTGTAGTATTACATTGTTGGAAGATCATGGTGTGATTAGTTCTGTAGTGTTACATTGTTGGAAGATCATGGTGTCATTAGTTCTGTAGTGTTACATTGTTGGAAGATCTTGGTGTCATTAGTTGTGTAGTGTTACATTGTTGGAAGATCATGGTGTCATTAGTTGTGTAGTGTTACATTGTTTGAAGATCATGGTGTCATTAGTTCCTGAGTGTTACATTGTTGGAAGACCTTGGGGTCATTAGTTCTGTAGTATTACATTGTTGGAAGATCATGGTGTTCCTGAGTGTTACATTAGTTCTGTAGTGTTACATTGTTGGAAGATCATGGTGTCATTAGTTCTGTAGTGTTACATTGTTGGAAGATCATGGTGTCATTAGTTCTGTAGTGTTACATTGTTGGAAGATCATGGTGTCATTAGTTGTGTAGTGTTACATTGTTGGAAGATCATGGTGTCATTAGTTGTGTAGTGTTACATTGTTGGAAGATCATGGTGTCATTAGTTCCTGAGTGTTACATTGTTGGAAGACCTTGGTGTCATTAGTTCTGTAGTGTTACATTGTTGGAAGATCATGGTGTCATTAGTTCTGTAGTGTTCATTGTTGGAAGATCATGGTGTCATTAGTACTGTAGTGTTACAGGTTGTCAATTCTTGGTCTGCCAGCACCATATTCATGTGTGTCTCCAAGTGGGGAGACTCTACAAGCGGCTTTTCTGTGAGAGTTCTCCCCCAGGCAGCTTGCATAGCATAACTGAAATACTGTTTAAAGGGGCATTAGACTTCACTCACTCCCTCTAATGAGTGTGACACATAACCCAGACGTGATACAGGTATGAGGTTACCTGCATGAGTTGTAGGTAGCAAACGGCCAGACCTACACATAAGTGTGAGAATTTCCCATGTACAGTGTTTGTGTTATGAAAGGAGAAGATGACAGTGGTCTCTCAAGTCAACCATGACAGAAAACACCAAGGATTTGTAGCTAGCCCAACCCAGACATGGAGTGAACACTGTGCAAGAGCAGTTTAATACTGCTATAAGAAATTGATAAAAAATATCTATTTGTTAACCAGCTGCTGGGCAAGGGAGACAACTGTTCTCTCTACCTGTTGCTTTACAATATATGCTGGTGATAGAACACTTTCTTCAGTGGTGTCCTCTAATGGAAAATGGTGTCTTGATGGACTGTGAGTTCTTTGGTGAATTGAAACTTGGAGCCAGTACTGAGGACATCAACATGCTGTCAGACACTCAGCACAGATTCTGCTCTGTCAATTCTGAGAATTTCTGAAAAAATCACTAGTTAAAATTGCATATACTTTCCTAGTCTCTTAGTGAGTGGTATATCATAGTTGCCTACCTTGTAGGGCAAGAAGTCGGATGGAATGAAACTGAACTTTTTCCATGTTAAAATAAAAATGATGTCATTCATCCACTCTGTATCAACTGGACGACATGTCATTCATCCACTCTGTACCAACTGGATGGCATGTCATTCACCTACTCTGTACCAACTGGATGACATGTCATTCACCCATTCTGTACCAACTGGATGACATGTCATTCACCTACTCTGTATCAACTGGATGACATGTCATTCACCTACTCTGTACCAACTGGATGACATGTCATTCACCTACTCTGTACCAACTGGATGACATGTCATTCACCCATTCTGTACCAACTGGATGACATGTCATTCACCTACTCTGTATCAACTGGACGACATGTCATTCATCCACTCTGTACCAACTGGATGGCATGTCATTCACCTACTCTGTACCAACTGGATGACATGTCATTCACCCATTCTGTACCAACTGGATGACATGGCATTCACCTACTCTGTACCAACTGGATGACATGTCATTCACCCACTCTGTACCAACTGGATGACATGGCATTCACCTACTCTGTACCAACTGGATGACATGTCATTCACCTACTCTGTACCAACTGGATGACATGTCATTCACCCATTCTGTACCAACTGGATGACATGGCATTCACCTACTCTGTACCAACTGGATGACATGTCATTCACCTACTCTGTACCAACTGGATGACATGTCATTCATCTACTCTGTACCAACTGGATGACATGTCATTCACCTACTCTGTACCAACTGGATGACATGTCATTCACCTACTCTGTACCAACTGGATGACATATCATTCATCTACTCTGTACCAACTAGATGACATGTCATTCACCCATTCTGTACCAACTGGATGATATGTCATTCACCTACTCTGTACCAACTTGATGACATATCATTCATCTACTCTGTACCAACTGGATGACATGGCATTCACCTACTCTGTACCAACTGGATGACATGTCATTCACCTACTCTGTACCAACTGGATGACATGTCATTCACCTACTCTGTACCAACTGGATGACATATCATTCATCTACTCTGTACCAACTGGATGACATGGCATTCACCTACTCTGTACCAACTGGATGACATGTCATTCACCTACTCTGTTCCAACTGGATGACATGTCATTCATCTACTCTGTACCAACTGGATGACATATCATTCATCTACTCTGTACCAACTGGATGACATATCATTCATCTACTCTGTACCAACTGGATGACATATCATTTACCTACTCTGTATCAACTGGATGACATGGCATTCACTTACTCTGTACCAACTGGATGACATGTGATTCATCTACTCTGTACCAACTGGATGACATGTCATTCACCTACTCTGTACCAACTGGATGACATGTCATTCATCCACTCTGTACCAACTGGATGACATGTCATTTACCTACTCTGTACCAACTGGATGACATGTCATTCACCTACTCTGTACTTACTGGATGACATGGCATTTACCTACCCTGTACCAACTGGATGACATGGCATTCACCTTCTCTGTACCAACTGGATGACATGTCATTCACCTACTCTGTACCAACTGGATGACATGTCATTTACCTACTCTGTTCCCATGTGTGTAGTGTGTCATGGTGGCCTGTAGTGTAGTGTGTTGCCTCCCCTTGTGTACAGGAGGAAGGGAACCCTGCTATAGTCTTGGGTACACAACAAGGCAATAAAATGCCCGCCAGCCGAGCAGGAACCAGATTGCTTTCTGATTCCCAAGACCTTTTTTCATCAATGGCTGAAAAAGAGAGAAACTGAAAATTTCTCATGAGAGAAAAACCGATGTAGCTTTGTAATGTTTGTGGAAAGGCTGTAGAGCTAAGTTGTCAGGCATGGTTTAGTGTACATCTGTGGCTGGCTGAGGAGAAGCTGTCTGTCTGTGTGTCTGTGAGGAGATGTGTTGCAGCAACTTCTCCTGGATGGGGCTGACTGTTATCACTGATGTAATCTGCAGAACTCCACCCTGTCAGCCTTGTTACATGAGAAATATGCCACCACAAACATGTTGTTTGTTTAGGTCAAATATCCCCAGACTGTTGAAGCTGGAAAAGTACTGTTGGATTTGTCAGAAAATATCTTTAGATGATATGCATGAATATACAATCTTCATTTTGTTGCATAGTTTTCAATATATGAGCCAGATTATTAATACAAACTTTCTGTTTTCAGAAAATGTCAGTTTCAGCTATCTCCTTCATTCAGGAGCTTGTAAGAGTATGTCCTCCTGTGAAAGCTTGAGGTCATATGGGCTGTCTTCAGTGAATGCCATTGATATTTCTATGAAACATATTAAAGCTCTGAGTCCACACAGTTGTAGAACAGTATTTCCCTGTGATATTTGTCAGCAGAAATTTTGTTCCAGGTTAAGTCCAGTATCTTACAGTCTGTCTAAGACATAAATTTGTTAAAATTGTCCTGTGTCAGAATGTATCATTTCTACTCTTCAACACAGGTATTTGAGGGGTGGTGGGATAGCCTAGTGGTTAAAGCATTCGCTCATCACGCCAAGACCCGGGTTTGATTCCCCACATGGTTACAATGTGTGAAGCCCATATCTGGTGTCCCCCACAGTGATATTGCTGGAATATTGCTAAAAGTGGCGTAAAACTAAACTCACTCACTCACTGAAGAAACGGTGACCCTTCGTGATATTGCTGGAATATTGCTGTAAGCGGCATAAAACTAAACTCACTCACTCAGAGGTATGTGTGCAGTGAGGGTAGTGACATTGGATACTGAGTAAATTAGAGTATGATACAACTGTCCGTGAAACTCTGTGAACTATGTGATGTTAATGAGCAGGTGCTTGTGTTTCAGTTTGCGTACTTCACCTACGGCACCAAGGACGTCCTGGAGAGGGAGTGCAAGCAGCTCAACAAGAAGATGAGGGTGAGGATGATAGTTCCGACAATCCTGGGACACAGTGATGCAGCTGTGTGAGGCACCATAGTTCTCTCAGTTGCATCACTGACGTGGGTTCCCTAATTACACTGATTACGATTCTCGGCTTGTCAGTACTGTACCAGTGCTCAACACGTGGTCATTGTCTTTGATCTGATTCATTTGGGGCTTTTCTATCACAGTAAGGTGATATGCCATGAGTGAACTGAAACACTGTTTAACATAGTGTTGATACCCTCTCACTCATATAACCGCTTTTATTGAATTGAATTATTATATTTCGACCAAGCATCTTGATTCGGTGTTGGTCTGAGCTCGTACATGCCTAATGTAGTTGCTAATTAACAGTGTTGGGTATGTAAGGGGGAGGCATTGCCACAGTGATGGAGTGACGTGGATGTGGTTGTTGAGGCTGCCATGTGTTCAGCTCACACACTCACTATAGTACATGACAGAAGCACACTGTAGTTGAAGTGTTCACACCTGTGTATGTATGTGAATGAAGAACTTGATAAGAAAGGACAATGGGCCATTCACATTGTACATGTACAGGTGAGGATAGCGGAGTTTATATATTGGAGAATAATAAGGCCCTTTATCTATACAGATAATTTACCTCTGGAGTAGTTGGGACAACATGTGCTTGTGTTCTGACAACCTGGAACAAAGGAAAACCCTGTATGATAGAGACGGTACTGTGACTGTGGAGAACTCACTGATGGCTATTGTGTTACTGAAATATAGCCTTGTATTGTGGGATGTATGTACATATGTTCTCCATTCATACCTGTAAACTCCATTATGCCATATTTTTCTCCTGGAAAGAAATGACTTTTCACCAACTGAGGAAACAGTTTAGCACTGATGAAGATTAAGGTTAAAGATGGTTGTTTTCATTAAGTTTGATTGAGGGTGTACCCCTATTAAAGATGGTACTAGGGTTGTGTCTTGTCATTGAAGGGGCAGTGGGGTAGCTTAGTGGTTAAAGAGTTCGCTCGTCATGCTGAAGACTTGTGTTCGATTCCCCACATGGTTTGCTGGAGTATTGCTAAAAGCGGCATAAAACTAAATTCACTCACTCACTCACTCTTGTCATTGAAAATGGGTAAAGTATCATTGTTGTCATTGATAGATGTGTCTTGAATGGAGTGAGGGCTTACTAGTTTTTTTTCCTTGGCAGTTTTGACCCTTGGCTATTAGGTATCCATAGTTGTGGGTTCGAATCCCAAACAGATTTACCCAAATTTGACCAGACGTTTTCCCTTGAATTTCACTTAAATTGTGAATGTCTCAGCTGACACACCATGGAAAGCTGGAATAATGTTGACATGGCATCAGATCTATCTCAATGACTGACTTGTCATCTATGGACTGAGGCCACCCCATCATGGGGTGTCATGTGGTGTGGGGAGCACCTGTTGGACTGGAACACAAGAGGTAAGGAAGTTGTGGAGGGTACGACCAGGCTCAACCTGGGCATCACATGACAGGAACAACCCATTTCCTATATTTATTGTCTCATTCCCTGTCATTGTAAAATGCCTCTCTCTTGGGAGTCAGGAGTAAACATCCTTTCTTTGAAGCAGTCAGTATGGCCTGTTCCTCCTTATGTGTAAACACTGGTGTTCAGCCTGCTGCTGATGCTGTTTGTGATGTCTTTGCTCTGCCATGGATTCCCCACCATACACTGGTCACAAGTATCTCCAATCTGCCATCCAGCACAATTCCTTTCTATCCCATACTATCCAGTTTTATCTATTGCTGCCCTAAACTATCCAACACCATCCTGTGTTGCCACAGATATGCCTAACAGTCTTTACTCTTTTCCTTTGCAATAAAAATGAAACACCACTATCTATCTTATTCAGTGGTACTAAGCATTGTATTCATTTTACCCCCAATACTATACCTTGGTATCACACACTATCTACAACTATCACTATCACTATCTACAACCATCACTATGACAATCTACAACCATCACTATGACAATCTCCAACCATCACTGTCACCATCTGCAACCAACCATCACTGTCACCATCTGCAACCATCACTATCACTATTTACAACTATCACTATCTTCAATCATCACTATCTATAACCATCACTATCTACAACCATCACTATCTATAACCATCAATATCTATAACCATCATAATCTATAACCATCAATATCTACAACCATCACTATCTATAACCATCACTATCTATAACCATCACTATCTATAACCATCACTATCTATAACCATCACTATCTATAACCATCACTATCTACTATCTATAACCATCACTATCTATAACCATCTATCTACTATCTACAACCATCACTATCTACAACCATCACTATCTATATCTATCTATAACATCATCACTATCTACAACATCATCACCATATCTACAACCATCACTATCTACAACCATCACTATCTACAACCATCACTGATTATCTATATAACCATCACTATCTACAACCATCACTATCTATAGTTAACCATCATTATCTATAACCATAGTGATGCATATGATGGTTATCTACAACCATCACTAATGATGGTATAGATAACCATGGTTATCTATTAGATAATGATGGTTGAAGATATAGATAACCATCAAGATAGTGAAACCATATAGTGATGGTTATAGTGATGGTTATAGTGTTAGTGATGGTTATAGATCTATAAGATGGTGATGATAGTTGTAGATAGTGATGGTTATAGATAATGATGGTTATAGATAGTGATAGTGATATAGATAATATGATATTGTAGATAGTGACTATTATAGATAATGATGGTTGTAGATAGTGATGGTTATAGATAATGATGGTTATAGATAAGTGATGATGGTTATAGATAGTGATGGTTGTAGATAGTGATGGTTATAGATAATGATGTTATTGTAGATAGATAGATGGTTGTAGATAGTGATGGTTATAGATAATGATGGTTATAGATAATGATGGTTGTAGATAATGATGGTTGTAGATAGTGATGGTTGTAGATAGTGATGGTTATAGATAATGATGGTTGTAGATAGTGATGGTTGTAGATAGTGATGGTTGTAGATAGTGATGGTTATAGATAATGATGGTTATAGATAATGATGGTTGTAGATAGTGATGGTTGATAGATAGTGATGGTTATAGATAGTGATGGTTATAGATAGTGATAGTGATGGTATAGATAGTGATAGATAGTGATGGTTATAGATAGTGATGGTTATAGATAGTGATGGTTATAGAATGATTGTGATAGTGATGGTTGTAGATAGTGATGGTTATAGATATAGATAGTGATGGTTATAGATAGTGATGGCTGTAGATAGTGATGGATAGATAGATGGTTATAGATGTGATAGTTGTATAGATAGTGATGGTTATAGATAGTGATGGTTGTAGATAGTGATGGTTGTAGATAGTGATGGTTATAGATAGTGATGGTTATAGATAGTGATGGTTATAGATAGTGATGGTTGTAGATAGTGATGGTTATAGATAGTGATGGTTATAGATAGTGATGATGGTTATAGATAGTGATGGTTATAGATAGTGATGGTTATAGATAGTGATGGTTATAGATTGTGATGGTTGTAGATAGTGATGGTTGTAGATAGTGATGGTTATAGAAAGTGATAGTGATTGTTGTAGATAGTGATGGTTATAGATAGTGATGGTTATAGATAGTGATAGTGATTGTTGTAGATAGTGATGGTTAGTAGATAGTGATAGTGATATAGATAGTGATGGTTGATAGTGATGGTTGAGATAGTGATGGTTATAGATAGTGATGGTTATGATGATAGATAGTGATGGTTATAGATAGTGATGGCGATAGATAGTGATGGTTATAGAAAGTGATAGTGATTGTTGTAGATAGTGATGGTTATAGATAGTGATGGTTATAGATAGTGATAGTGATTGTTGTAGATAGTGATAGTGATGGTTATAGATAGTGATGGTTATAGATAGTGATGGTTATAGATAGTGATGGTTGTAGATAGTGATGGTTATAGATATAGTGATTGTTGTAGAGTGATGGTTATAGATATGATGGTTATAGATAGTGATAGGTTTATAGTGATAGTGATGGTTGTAGATACATGATAGTGATGGTTATAGATAGTGATGGTTATAGATAGTGATGGCGGTTGTAGATATTGTTGTAGATAGTGATAGTGATGGTTGTAGATAGTGATGGTTATACATAGTGATGGTTGTTGGAGATAGTGATAGTGATGGTTGTAGATAGTGATGGTTATAGATAGTGATGGTTATAGATAGTGATAGTGATAGTGATAGTGATGGTAGATAGTGATGGTTATAGATAGTGATGGTTATAGATAGTGATGGTTGTAGATAGTGATGGTTATAGATAGTGATGGTTATAGATAGTGATAGATAGTGATGGATATAGATAGTGATGGTTATAGATAGTGATGGTTATAGATAGTGATGGTTGTAGATAGTGATGGTTATAGATAGTGATGGTTGTAGATAGTGATGGTTGATAGATAGTGATGGTTATAGATAGTGATGGTTATAGATAGTGATGGTTATAGATAGTGATGGTTGTAGATAGTGATAGTTATTATTGTAGATAGTGATAGTGATGGTTATAGATTATGATGGTTATAGATAGTGATGGTTATAGATAGTGATGGTTATAGATAGTGATGTTTGTAGATAGTGATTGGTTGTAGATAATGATGGTTTGTAGATAGTGATGGTTATAGATAATGATGGTTGTAGATAGTGATGGTTATAGATAATGATGGTTGTAGATAGTGATGGTTATAGATAATGATGGTTATAGATAGTGATGGTTGATAGATAGTGATGGTTATAGATAGTGATGGTTGTAGATAGTGATGGTTATAGATATGATGGTTATAGATGATGGTTATGGCCATAGATATGATGGTTGTAGATAGTGATGGTTGTAGATAGTGATGGTTATAGATAATGATGGTTGTAGATAGTGATGGTTATAGATAGTGATGGTTATAGATAGTGATGGTTATAGATAGCAATAGTGATGGTTGTAGATAGTGATGGTTATAGATAGTGATGGTTATAGATAGTGATAGTGATTGTTGTAGATAGTGATAGTGATGGTTGTAGATAGTGATGGTTATAGATAGTGATGGTTATAGATAGTGATAGTGATGGTTATAGATAGTGATGGTTATAGATAGTGATGGTTATAGATAGTGATGGTTGTAGATAGTGATGGATATAGATATAGATATAGACCATCACTATTCACAACCATCACTATCTATAACCATCACTATCTACAACCATCACTATCTATAACCATCACTATCTATAACCATCACTATCTATAACCATCACTATCTACCAATCATCATCTATAACCATCACTAACCATCACTAACCATCTATAACCATCACTATCTATAACCATCACTAACCATCACTATCTACAACCATCACTATCTATAACCATCACTATCTATAACTATCACTATCTACAACCATCACTATCTATAACCATCACTATCTATAACCATCACTATCTTCAACCATCACTTATCTATAATCATCACTATCTCAACCATCACTATCTATAACCATCACTAACCATCACTATCTACAACCATCACTATCTATAACCATCACTATCTATAACCATCACTATCAACAACTATCACTATCCACAATCATGTGCCATGACCACCATCTCCCTGTTGCATCTGCTGTGCTGTTACTGTTTTGCTAGAGTTGTACCAGTGTTGTGCTAGTATCATTGCTGTACTATGACTGACAACAGTTGTATCTCGGCTGTACCATTGCTATACCATGTCAGTATGATGTTTGTACCATAGCTGTACCATTGTGTACCACCATTGTGTACCACTCGTGTGGCATGTTGTACATCTGCTGTACCATGGCTGTGCCATAGTTGAGTGAACTTTGTACCAGGGTGTATCAGTGTGGTACCATGGCTGGGCAATTACTGTACCATGTTTGTATCTTTGTACCATGACTGTGCGATAGTTGTACCATTGCCTAGTATAGGGGTGTACCTGTGCTGTACCCTGATGCAACAAAACTGTGCACTTCTGTATCCTACTTGTACCCCTGCTGTACCAACTTTGTACCGTAGGTAGAGTACCTTCCTCACTGCTTGGACCCTGCTTGTATCATCTGGAGGACATCGTATGGTGTTGAGCAAGCAGGCTGTTTCATATCTCACCCCGCCGTGATCAGGTTGCTCGTAAATCTCTCCCTCCATTAGCCAGCAAGAAAACAAACAGGCTGAAAATTCCAGGTTTTTATATTTCTGATATTTCATTTTTGCAGGTTCCATCACAGGCAGTGAGTGTGAGAAAGGCTGCGCTTATGACAACTGCATGTATGAGAGTGTAGGACCAGCGAGTTCCCATAGCAGGCATGGCTGTCTCTGTGTTTACATGGAAGAGAGGCTGGCCATGCTGGTCTTACTCTATCATTAATAACACATTTGGGCCTAACAACATGCATGAGGACAACCACTGCACCATGTGAACCTTCCTACACCAACAGTAACCCAGTGATCAATCACGACATTCTTGCTTCAGTTTTGGTAAAAAGCAAATGGAAATGACAAATTGAACATAAGTTTAAACTGATGTGACTGGGTTAATTCTCTCTGTCCTTATGTAACCATGTACAGAATTTATGGATTTTGTTTATCACAAAATATTTAAAACAGTTTAAAATGAGGTCAGATTTATTTGAATTTTTATTCCACCACAGATCTAAATATAGGTTTTTGTTGCTGATTTACCCAACTCAAGTTTCAGAGATTTCAGCAACTTAACATAGCTTGAATATTGGAATTGACTGTACTATGAAAAACATAAAACTGTTTATAAACAGTTTAGTCTCACTTGGCACACTGGAAGGTCAATAGGAGATCAAAATGTGCTTTCAGTTTATCATAAACCTAAACTGAAGATGATTTTTTTCAATGTTGTAGATCAAACAGAAACAGAATTAGTCGAACTATTGAAGTTGTTGTTGCATTTGTGTTAAGCTTGGTCTATGTAGTGGATTTGGCATGAAACACATCATCCATCCACATCTAAGTCCCTGGTGCACTTCACACAGTTGTCTTTTAATACCATTATGTTGATCCGAGTTGACTTTCAGTGAAAGCTGATAGCTCTTCTCTTGACATCTCACAACTCTGGGAATAGGTTTTCAAGCTGTTTGTAAATATTCATCAAAAAAAGATTGCAATGTGTGATGGCAACAAGATAAGACATGTATAGTATAGGCAGTGGTGTGTTCCACTCAAGACCTGATGACCATCAGTAGCTAGTCTCTCATCTGTGGTGGGCATCTCATCACTTCATTTACACTTTTCATTAAACTGAGGGGACCCAGGAAATAAACACATACCATTTTGTACTCATTTTACATCCTGCCCTGTTATTTTACTGTCTTTATGAGGACATTATGGAATGAACATCTCTAAATAGCCGCCACTAAATTCCCTGGCCACAATGGATGCTAAGTGTGACTTGTACTTGGGAGTTCAGTGACATGACATTTACTAGGAAGGACCATGAAGTGACTAGAACTTTGAAGGTTATTGAAGTGACTAGAACTTTGAAGGTTATTGAAGTGACTAGAACTTTGAAGGTTATTGAAGTGACTAGAACTTTGAAGGTTATTGAAGTGACTAGAACTTTGAAGGTTATTGAAGTTACTAGAACTTTGAAGGTTATTGAAGTGACTAGAACTTTGAAGGTTATTGAAGTGACTAGAACATGGAAGGTTCCTGAAGTGACTAGCAGTTGCAAGGTCACCAAAGTGACCAGTACTTGGAAGTTCCCTGAAGTAACCAGTACTTGGAAATTCCCAGAAGTGACCAGTACTTGGAAGTTCCCTGAAGTTCCCTGAAGTGACCAGTACTTGGAAGTTCCCTGAAGTGACCAGTACTTGGAAATTCCCAGAAGTGACCAGTACTTGGATGTTCCCTGAAGTGACCAGTACTTGGAAATTCCCAGAAGTAACTAGTACTTGGAAGTTCCCTGAAGTGACCAGTACTTGGAAGATCCAAACAAGACCAGACTGATTCTGTATCACACTCTGTAGATCACAGGCAGACATGCTCTTACTCTATCAACCACGGGTTGCCTGGCCTGCACTCTGTCATTACCAACCTAAATGATATATCTGGTATTTTGCATACTACAGTGTAGAATCATACATTTGTATACCCACGACAAGCCTGAACCTAGCACTGGTCACACGGTCGCTTGGGGTGAATACAGTAGAGCTAGAAGCATTCATACAACATACACTGTAAATGTAAGCACAGATCTATACAAGAACTGGACCTGTTTAAGAGATGGGATATGTCAGTTTACTTGCTCCAGCATCTGGGTCTCTGTTTCAATCCAGACTTCAAGCCACGGCCTGGAATTTGTTCATTATGAGACACAAGCAAAGTCCAGTAATAACTGAAGAACTACAACCACTATGATCTTACCATTCTGCTTTGAGATAAGATCTTATTCTTCTGAATTGTTTGATTTGGTGTGATGAGAGAGGCTTTCTGTTAGAACGAACCTAGATGACATGGCAGGGGAGGAGGGTTGCGGTCTCACAGAGCTATCACATGTACTCTAATTACATTTCCAGATATACGCTGTGAAATAGAAAAAAACTGTCTTCAAGAATGAATGGTCTGTTCCGCGTCTCACTCATCTCCTTGACTTCAGAATGTCTCATTTACACAAGGTTCAGTTAGTGGGGCCATCTTGAAGTCTTCCTCCAGCTCACCTATATAGCTATCTTTGTGTGTCTCCTTATGTCTTCTGTCTCCATCTTGTGTGGCATCCTTTAAGCTGACACAAGGTGTTTGTTGGATGGACAGTTCCCTCAACATATGGGACACTGCATATACAGTCCTAGACTAAGGCTTAATCTCTGAATATATATAATTTTGATAGTAACAAACAAGCCCATTTATATTGAAAAGGAGCCCTAGGGAAACCAGAGATTCAGAACCTGAGGAAACCTAGACTTGCTTTATTTAGGGCTTTAGCACTGCAGAGAAGGCTTGGCAGTGTGGAAAATAATGTGGTTCAGGGACTGTGAGACAGACTAATACAGTCCCTAAATAATCCCTAAGCCATCAAAAACATGCTAATGTACAATATTTACTGGCCCAGCATGTCTGTTGTAAAAGTTATCTTTTCTCTCTGTGATGGTGTGTTTAACTAAAATGGCCTCTTGTTAACCAACCTGATACCTTTGGGATTCAAGGACAGAACAAGTTCTTACTTTCATATTGTTCTTGAGATCCGACTTCAATGGGGATGTTGTTTGTAACTTGTTGTGTTTAGGCTGTCAACGTTGTGACACATTTACCCCCCACTTATGTCATTGTACAAAAACACATCATGTTGAATATTTGCCAGATTTGTTTGTCAACAGTCCTGTTCATTTTCTGCCCTTGTTATATAAGTCCATATTTTCCTGCCACAGGTGTCCTGTATGTAACAGAGGTGATTTCTGCTTTCAGGTTGAGTTGGATGACCGTGTCCTTGAACTTCCTGACATTGAAGGCATTGTCATCCTCAACATCAGCAGCTGGGGCGGTGGTTGTCGCCCATGGGAACTAGCGTCTGATGACCTTGACTTTAAACCTGCAAGGTAAGTTCTCATACTACATAGACTGTGGCATCAAACTGTCACATTGTTGTTAATATTCACAACGTTAATACAAGGGCCAAAACATCACAATGAAGCTGACTGATGGGGCACTTTGTACGCTCACCAACAGGACACGTGCAGCTGACTGATGGGGCACTTTGTACGCTCCCAAACAGGACACGTGCAGCTGACTGATGGTGCACTTTGTACGCTCCCCAACAGGACACGTGGAGCTGACTGATGGGGCACTTTGTATGCTCCCCAACAGGACACGTGGAGCTGACTGATGGGGCACTTTGTACAGTCCCCAACACTTAGACTTGGTGCACTTTGTACGCTCCCCAACAGGACACGTGCAGCTGACTGATGGGGCACTTTGTATGCTCCCCAACAGGACACGTGCAGCTGACTGATGGGGCACTTTGTATGCTCCCCAACAGGACACGTGCAGCTGACTGATGGGGCACTTTGTATCCCCAACAGGACCCAACAGGGACACTGTCCCCAACAGGACCGCGTGAGCTGAATGGGGCACTTTGTATGCTCCCCAACAGGACACGTGCAGCTGACTGATGGGGCACTTTTGGCAGCTGACTGATGGCACTTTGTATGTTCCCCAACAGGACACGTGCAGCTGACTGATGGTACACAGCTCCCCAACAGGACGTGCAGCTGACTGACTTTGTATGCTCCCCAACAGGACACGTGCAGCTGACTGATGGGGCACTTTGTACACTCCTCAACAGGACACTAGCAGCTGACTGATGGTGCACTTTGTACGCTCCCCAACAGGATACGTGCAGCTGACTGATGGTGCACTTTGTACGCTCCCCAACAGGACACGTGCCGCCGACCAATGGGACATTGCAAGTTTCCCACCAGGATACAGCCAGCTCAAGCCTGCTTGGTCACTTTGTAACCAGTTACATAACCATATCATTGCCTCTGCCTGAATCTAGCTATATCATATGCACATGTTGATTCTGATCGCATAATGGATGGTTGTCCTGCAAGGAATAGGAATGGAATCTAAGATAAATGCTGGGAATAAGGAAAGTTTGGAACACATTTTGTACCTAAAATAACTTGATATGGTAATAAGTGGCTAATTTTAAATCTGATGTTGTTGAGCATATACAAACTTCAAAATGGAGGTATCATACAAAAAAGAGGAATTTCGGGATAGGTTTTAAGGCTCGGGTGGTTTTGTCGTAGAACTCTTGAAGTTTTAGAGTTTTTCAGAAGCACCTGGTGCAATAGTCGGTGGTTGAGGGAGTGCTGTAGTGGAGTGCTGTGCAGGAGTGTCAGGACATCCAGTAATCTGCAGCAGCAGCAGCAGCAAACATCTGGCGACACAGTGGGACAGGGGCAGGGGCTGGGACCAGGCTTGAGTTATGTGAAGTGAAGTGAAAACATCTTCCATGTTCAGCACCACAGTGACACAGCACCGACATGCACTTAAGGGAGCAAAAATATACCTCCTATCAAGGCTTAGAAGAAGGAGATTTCAACTATTATTGTGGTTGTTTTTTCATAAAAAATATCTTCACCCACTGAAAAAAGTCCCAAGATTACAAACATATGGCAGGAATAGTATTTGTGGGAATAATTTCTGTTGTGAGCTCTGGGAAAATTGTCCACATGTTGTAAAGAGAATAATCTTTGATTTAGGTCTGTGAGATGTTTTTAAATGACCTCTGTGGTGGGTCAGCTAATAGCAGTCGGACAAGGAGAAGTGAGAGAAAACACTAGTGCTATCTGGGTCATAAATCTCCTTCTCTCAATGAGAGATCACAGAAGGAGAAGCCAACTGCATCAAACATATGTGTGATTATAAACCTCCATACTGATGTGACAGTTATCTGTGATTTATGGGCAGATAGCATCAACTAATACCCTTACTTCCCAACAGATGATATATTGTTTATGATTAAGTCCTCATGGAGGGCTCTGGCCACTTGTGATGTGCTGACCTCTCACCCTATTCTTGCCAAAGTGACCCCACATGACCTGAGAAGTTCTCTCCTCCCACGGTGGCAGGGAGTTGGATTTTGGTACTTGTGTTATGTTTCAATAGATGAGTATTTTTTCAGGTAATTTTGTAGTGCCTGCATTATTCTAGCTGGTTTTAGAAAAAAACACAAATTCTGCTATTCTGGTTGTATTATATATAAACATATTTCTGCTATTGTCATCTTGAAACATTTTGAAACATAACTGCTGGGAAAAGCAGGGTTTTACATGACGCATGATTCCTGCGTATTCGACACAACCGGTTTGTAAAAGACTCTCAAGCTTGATGCAGGTTTTATGAGTGACCCTCAGAATTCAGTTCAATAAAATTGATTTGATAAGCAAACGATGATAGTTTTCGTGAGGTCTTCGTTAATTTAGATATTTCTTATGTTAATAACTCTTATGTTACAGTGAATAAATCACAAGCATGAATATTTGTTCAGTATACTGGATTTTGTTATGGCTGAATTGAACAGTGAAAATATACTACCGGTAACACTTAAATGGCAATACATCACAAAACAACCAAATCTTTGCAAAACTCGTGCTTTTTGATATACAAAAAAAAATTCGCTCAAATTTTCATGACTCCTAAATATTGAAAATGACTCCCCAAAATAAAATACTGTGAATCACCATGACTCTCATTTTTCAAAGTCTGTGTAAAACCCTGGAAAACTATATATTTTTCAGTTTGCACAATATCTCCTCTGTGTGTTCAGTTCTTTATTTTCACACTTCTTCCCAAAGCACTGGCCAGCTTAGTCTGTAGTCCGATGTACCCTGTTCCCACCCCATATAACTGAGTCTGTAGTCTGATGAACCCTGTTCCCATCCCATATAACTGAGTCTGTAGTCTGATGAACCCTGTTCCCATCCCATATAACTGAGTCTGTAGTGAGATGTACCCTATTTCCCACCCCATATAACTGAGTCTGTAGTCCAATGTACCCAGTTCCCACCCTCAGATAACTGAACCTATAGTCCAATGTACCCAGTTCCCACCCTCAGATAACTGAGCCTATAGTCCGATGTACCCTGTTCTCATCCCAGATAACTAAGTCTGTAGTCCGATGTACCCTGTTCTTGCCCCAGATCACTAAGTCTGTAGTCAGATGTACCCTGTTCCCACCCCATATAACTGAGCCTGTAGTCCAATGTACCCTGTTCCCATCCCATATAACTGAGTGTGTATTCTGATGTACCCTGTTCCCACCCCAAATAACTGAGCCTGTAGTGAGATGTATCCTTTTCCCACCCCAAATAACTGAGTCTGTAGTGAGATGTACCCTGTTCTTGCCCCAGATCACTAAGTCTGTAGTCAAATGTACCCTGTTCCCACCCCAGATAACTGAGCCTGTAGTGAGATGTACCCTGTTCTTGCCCCAGATCACTAAGTCTGTAGTCAGATGTACCCTATTCCCACCCCATATAACTGAGCCTGTAGTCCAATGTACCCTGTTCCCATCCCATATAACTGAGTGTGTATTCTGATGTACCCTGTTCCCACCCCAAATAACTGAGCCTGTAGTCCGATGTACCCTGTTCCCACCCCAGATAACTGTGCCTGTAGTCCAATGTACCCTGTTCCCACCCCATATAACTGAGTCTGTAGTGAGATGTACCCTGTTCTTGCCCCAGATCACTAAGTCTGTAGTCAGATGTACCCTGTTCCCACCCCAGATAACTGAGCCTGTAGTGAGATGTACCCTGTTCTTGCCCCAGATCACTAAGTCTGTAGTCAGATGTACCCTGTTCCCACCCCATATAACTGAGCCTGTAGTCCAATGTACCCTGTTCCCATCCCATATAACTGAGTGTGTATTCTGATGTACCCTGTTCCCACCCCAAATAACTGAGCCTGTAGTGAGATGTATCCTTTTCCCACCCCAAATAACTGAGTCTGTAGTGAGATGTACCCTGTTCTTGCCCCAGATCACTAAGTCTGTAGTCAAATGTACCCTGTTCCCACCCCAGATAACTGAGTCTGTAGTGAGATGTACCCTGTTCTTGCCCCAGATCACTAAGTCTGTAGTCAGATGTACCCTGTTCCCACCCCAAATAACTGAGCCTGTAGTCCAATGTACCCTGTTCCCATCCCATATAACTGAGTGTGTATTCTGATGTACCCTGTTCCCACCCCAGATAACTGAGCCTGTAGTGAGATGTACCCTGTTCTTGCCCCAGATCACTAAGTCTGTAGTGAGATGTACCCTGTTCCCACCCCAAATAACTGAGCCTGTAGTCCAATGTACCCTGTTCCCATCCCATATAACTGAGTGTGTATTCTGATGTACCCTGTTCCCACCCCAAGTGTTCCCACCCCAGATAACTGAGCCTGTAGTGAGATGTACCCTGTTCCCACCCCAGATAACTGTGCCTGTAGTCCGATGTACCCTGTTCCCACCCCATATAACTGAGTCTGTAGTGAGATGTACCCTGTTCTTGCCCCAGATCACTAAGTCTGTAGTCAGATGTACCCTGTTCCCACCCCAGATAACTGAGCCTGTAGTCCAATGTACCCTGTTCCCATCCCATATAACTGAGTGTGTATTCTGATGTACCCTGTTCCCACCCCAAATAACTGAGCCTGTAGTCAGATGTACCCTGTTCTTGCCCCAGATCACTAAGTCTGTAGTCAGATGTACCCTGTTCCCACCCCATATAACTGAGCCTGTAGTCCAATGTACCCTGTTCCCATCCCATATAACTGAGTGTGTATTCTGATGTACCCTGTTCCCACCCCAAATAACTGAGCCTGTGAGCCTGAGATGTACCCTGTTCTTGCCCCAGATCACTAAGTCTGTAGTCAGATGTACCCTGTTCCCACCCATATGTAGAGCCTGTAGTCCAATGTACCCTGTTCCCATCCCATATAACTGAGGTGTGTATTCTGATGTACCCTGTTCCCACCCCAAATAACTGAGTCTGTAGTGAGATGTACCCTGTTCTTGCCCCAGATCACTAAGTCTGTAGTGAGATGT